GTTCCAAAATAGGGACATTTCTTGTACAAAACTGAGACATATTACTGTCTGCAGGGACAGGGGACACTGGGCTCCAAACTGGGACTGTCCCGGGTCAAAAGGAACGTTTGGACACCTCATTTTTTTGCTTGACAAAAACAAATACTTTTCATGTTTTCTGTGGCAGTGTTTCGTTTAGAGCCAGATCTGACGTCGTCCCTAAACTTTACTCTTGTCAGGTGTCAAATTGTTCCAAAATAGGGACATTTGTTGTATAAAACTTGGACAAATTACTGTTCTTGGACAAATCTGCAGGGACAGGGGACACTGGGTTCAGAACTGGGACTGTCCTGGGTCAACACAAACATCTGGACGCCCCAGTGTGGAGTGTTGACTGTTGAGTTGAGACTAAAGTGCAGTAAAGTCGGATCCTTAATACAATAATGTAACAAAAGGACAAACTTTTAACAACAACTAAAACATATTTTCTTTTCCACAGGTGACAGTTTCTCTCCTGAGTGTCGTCCGTCCAGAGCTGTGATCAGAAGTAAGTACTTTTCATAGTTTCTGTCACAGTGAGTGTTTAGTTTAAACTCTTGAGACTCTGTGTCCTCAAACAAGGACATTACATGTTTGTCTCTTAGCACCATGATCCCCATTGTTTAAAACTTTGACCTGTCAGTCAAACTGAGGGACACTCGCACCGTGTTCTGATGACATCACAACATCACACCAACTTCAGTGGATGAAAAATGGTGGGAAAATCAACAAAAATCTTCTCCAGCAGCTCCCAAAACAAAAAAACAGCAAGGTCAAGTTTATGTCCAAATTTTATGAATGAAACCAAAGTATTTATGTACAATAACGTCTGTTCACATCTTATATATCTTCACATCTTCATCTGGCATTAAAATGTGACACATTTGATTCCAGGCGACTAGAGCGTCAGGACATGTCACGTCCTCGTTTGACGACATTGGAACTTTAATGTTATTGATTGTACCGTGTTATTTGCTGAACTTGAATGAGTTTACTCGTGTTGTAGTGGAGATCAAACTAATGGAGACCAAGACCAGTCCGAGACCACAAAGTCCTGAGACCAGGACAAGACCAAGGCCAAGTGCCATCAAGACCGAGACAAGACCCAGTCCAAATGTGCTCGAGTCCGAGACGAGACCAAGACTGTTACAAAGTGGTTTTGAGTCTGGTCTCGAGACCAACACCAGTTTACACCACTAGAGTTTACATCTGTAAATAGTTCATTTAAGTGGCACATTTTCTGGTGTCATACAGTAAGATCGACAGTGTTCTCATAGAAGAATCTACTTCCTGTATAAAAACTAAGTTTAGTTCTGATACTGATTAGGTTCTACTTATCCCAAACAGCAAGGAAATAAAAAAATACACCCCAGACAAAAGCTCGGGCGAGATCTGACTTTGTGCCTAAACTTTACTCTGCTCAGGTGTTAAATTGGTCAAAAATAGAGACTTCTCTTGTACAAAACTGGTACAAATGAGTGTTTTTGGACAAATCTTCTGGGACAGGGGCACTGGGCTCAAAACTGGGACTGTCCCGCGGAAATAGGAATGTCTGGACACCTTTTTTTTTTAGCATTGCTTGAAAAAAACAAATACTTGTCATGGTTTCTGTGACAGTGAGTGTTTAGTTTAGAGCCAGATCTGACTTTGTCCCTAAACTTTACTCTTGTCAGGTGTTAACTTGTTTCAAAATAGGCACATTTCTTGTATAAAACTGGGACAAATTAATGTTTTTGTATAAATCTGCTGTGACACGGGACACTGGGCTCAAAACTCGGACCGTCCCGGGTCAATAAAAACGTTTGGTCACTTTATTTTTTTAGCATCGCCTGACAAAACCGAATATTTAAAACGAGCTACGCAAATAAGCGAAGAACATACAAATAAAAACGTGATACGCGTGAAATTATCGGTGTCAACAGCGAAAAAAACAAAACACGCTACGCTACACCAGCTTATATAACACGGTGTCGAGTGCGCGCGCTTACCTGTATTTACCTGCACGTCCCCTGACCACGCGCACCTCCACGCACGGTGCACGCGGGTGATGCTGCGGTGGGCGGGGTCGCGTGGTGCCTCATATTTGCCCCTCGTGCCCGTCACAAAACCCGCGTTCGCCTGGAGCACGCGACCAGAAAAGACCCGGTCCCGTCCAAAAAAAACAAACAAACAACAAAACAAAAAACGAAAAAACGAAGCTCTGGATGCGGGTTTGTTGGACAGACGCAAACGTAAAGGTGAGTGACGCTGCGTGCAAACTTGACGTGCCTGTACGTCTCACCTGACGCTTTACTGTAGCGGATTTTAAGGTCACACTGTAAGTTAATGTTAAATAATTAAAAAGCTTGTTTACGTAACCTTCTGGAAAAGCACTGATCGTAACAGGCGCAGTGTTCAGCCTATTTCTTATTTGTATTTTTAGGGTTTGTTGCTATGGAGACGTCGTTGCTCTGCCTGGAATGTTCCACAGTGTGACATTAAACAGGTCTACTTTTATTTATTGCGTTTATTTAGTTACAAATTAAAAAAAAAAAACATCGATAAAGAGACTGTGAGCGGGGTCGCCTCTCCACAGATCTGACCTGTAACTCACTCTGGTTCAGACCTGGTTCAGTCCTGGTTTAGTCCTGGTTTGCTCCTGGTTTAGACCTGGTTTGGTCCTGGTTTAGACCTGGTTGAGTCCTGGTTTAGACCTGGTCCAGTTCTGGTTCAGTTCTGGTTTAGTCCTGATTTAGTCCTGGTTTAGTTCTAGTTCAGTCCTTGTTTAGTCCTGGTTCAATTCTGGCTTAATCCTGGTTTAGTCCTGTTTTAGTCCTGGTTAGGTCCTGGTTTAGTTCTGGTTTAGTCCCAGTTTATTCCTGGTTCAGTCCTGGTTTAGTCCTGGTCCAGTTCTGGTTTAGTCCTGGTTTAGTCCCAGTTTATTCCTGGTTTAGTCCTGGTCCAGTTCTGGTTTAGTCCTGGTTTAGTCCCAGTTTAATCCTGGTTCAGTCCCGGTTTAGTCCTGGTTTATTCCGAGTTTAGTCCTGGTTTAGTCCAAGTTCAGTCCTGCTTCAGTCCTGGTTTATAACTGAATTGTAATTACATCATTAATAATAATACAGTAATAATAATAATAATAATAATAATAATAATAATAATAATAATAATAATAGACCATATGACTCAATAGTAGAAATATAAATTAAATATTTTATGAACCAATAGACTCTTGTGGCCACGTGAAAAAAGCCTCCAAACTTTTACTACGACTGAGATATGAATGAAAATGAACTGTAAACATATTTATTATTCCAGTCTTCAGACACGTACATGAAGCACACAAACACCAACATAACATGACACAACATGAATTAAATCATCAAATTAAACGTACATAAAAGGAGGGGCAGTTTAACGTGCAACCGAAATTTAAACACATAAACAGTTTAGAACAATAATCCAATCAGGTACGTTTATTCTTCAGATATTTTATGTTAGGTTTAGGTTCTTTTTCCCCAGGTGTGTGAGAGTAGAAAAGCCCCTCGTCCCGGTTTATCGTCCCGTGGACATGTTTCCGTATTCCGACTGCCTCTTTAATCCAGCGACGGTGTTTGTTTGCTCCATCTCAGTCCAGAACGACGTGCTTCTCTCTTTTACAGCGTCACAAACGGACCATTTGAGTTGTTCTTGTCCCGCTTTGTGTTTTGTTGCTCGCGTTTCGCCTTCGCTGTTTCCTTCTCGCGTTCTGTTCTATGTTCCTTTTTTTATGTTCTGAACGCCCTCCCTGTTTCTTTTCCTGATGTGTGTTTTACTGCAGAACATGCAGACGTTTTGTATACGATGTTACATTTACGCCGTCGAAACTGTCAGGTATGAAAACAAACTCTTGGTCTGAAGAAAGAACCTGATAACATAACTTAGGAACTAGGGATGGGCATGATTAGTCGATTAATCGACAATTGACCATTAAGAATTTCATCGATTACGTTCATTTTTAATCAACAAACTGGATGTAGGTTGTTGTGCGTAGCGTAGGGCGACCAAACGTCCATGTCCGGGGACAAACAGGGTCTGTACATGTAGCTCTCTGTGCATCAAAAGGAGCGAGACACAAACAGTGGGTCAGTCTGCAACGTGCAGAAACGCAAATGTGTTTTTAACGATGATTTGGACAAGAAATTCCACACTTTCCGTTCTAATCGGGACAAGTGTGAGTCCATGTGCACAGTGTATAAAGCAGCACATATGTTTCTGTGTCCAATGGGAAAAAGTTCACCAGGACACAGAAAACATGAAAAAGTTTTTCCAGGTGAGAGTCGCTCAATGTGGATGACGAGGCCCCGCGCCCCCCTCCCCCCGTACGCTGTCCTGGTTTTGACAAACACAAATCTGGTCACACTGACCTGTATTCACCTGAGTCATGTCTTTTAATCCGACAGAAGTTGAACCACATCAGCGACACAAGAGCTGATTTTATTTTCTTCGCTTAGTTTATGCAAATTAGTCATGAGGTTTTAAGGTTTTTTGTTTCTGTGAGATTTGCACAAATCTGCATTAAACACATTCTAATTCCCATAACAGTAATGAAATCTATTACTCTGTGACATCACAAGGTGGAACAGAGTATTTTGAGCTTTGGAGATGTAGAGATTTACTCTAACCTGTGAATGAAAAAAAACATAATTCCAGGTCTGTTTTTGAGGAGGAAACAGTTTTTGAATCGGTTCAGACTGGAATCCACTCATTTATTTATTGAAGTTTATTATGACATTAGTGTGAAAGTGAAAGTTCATGTTTGTTTGTTTGTTTCATTTTATTTTCAGGTTGCGCTTTCAACTTCCTGGACAAACTCACCGAAACTTCAACCTGCAAAGATTTTCAGTCACGACTCGTCACAGAAATGTAGCAGCCCTTTTTTTTTCACCGAACAGGCAACTTTTTAAACTAAAAAAGAAGAATTGTAGTTTTTTTTGGAGCAACTCTACGTAAAAAAAACTACAAACATGGCTGCCAGTGCTACGATGGAAGCCGCTGACATCATCGTCGTGACCGTGTACTTCTTACTGGTCCTCGCCATCGGTCTGCTGGCCATGTGGAAAGCCAACCGCGGCACCGTGAGCGGCTACTTCCTGGCCGGCCGCTCGATGAACTGGGCGGCCGTCGGCGCGTCGCTCTTCGTCAGCAACATCGGCAGCGAGCACTTCATCGGGCTCGCCGGATCGGGGGCGGCCAGCGGGATCAGCGTCGCCGCGTGGGAGCTCAACGCTTTGCTGCTCCTCCAGTTGCTCGGCTGGCTCTTCATCCCGGTTTACATCCAGTCCGGGGTTTACACGATGCCCGAATATTTGTCCAAACGATTCGGCGGAAAACGGCTCAAAGTGTATTTCGCCACGCTCAGTCTCGTGCTTTACATTTTTACTAAACTGTCCGTGAATCTGTACACCGGCGCCTTGTTCATCCAGGAGTCGTTAGGGTGGAACCTCTACCTGTCAATCATCCTGCTCATCGCCATGACGGCCGTTCTGACGGTGACGGGCGGACTGGCGGCGGTGATCTACACGGACGTGATCCAGGCCGTCCTGATGATCGGCGGAGCGCTGACGCTGACCGCGATGAGCCTCGTCAAAGTGGGAGGACTTCAAGGTATTTACAGAATCTGTGTGTCGATCGTTCAGTCGTTTTTTCTAAATAAAATCAAAAATAAGAAAATGAAAAAAAATCAAAAAAACAATGATTTTCTTCGTTATTTGTCTCCAAAACCAAAATAAAAAACAGATAATGATTCGGTTTTTCAGTTTTCGATTTTGTGTTTCAATTAAAAATGGAAAAAAACTAATAAAGGACTGAACCAGGACTAAACCAGAACTACACCAGAACTAAAACAGGTCCGGGAACCAGACCAGGACTGAGACTAGGACTGAGTGCGGGAACCAGACCAGGACCAAGACTGGGACCAGATCAGGACTGAGAACAGGACCAGTTCGTGATTGAGACCAGGACTGAGACCGGGACCAGATCAGGACCAGACCGGGACTGAGACCGGGACCGAGACCGGGACCAGATCAGGACCAGACCAGGACTGAGACCGGGACCAGATCAGGACCAGACCGGGACTGAGACCGGGCCCAGATCATGACTGAGACCAGGGCTGAGACCGGGACCAGACAAGGACCAGATTGTGATTGAGACTGGGACTGAGACCGGGACTGAGACTGGGACTGAGACCGGGACCAGACTGGGACTCAGATCAGAACCAGACCGGGGACTGAGACCGAGACTGAGACCGGGACCAGACCAGAACCAGACTAGGACTGAAAATGGTTTAGGTTCAACCCGTTACCGTTTTTCCATTTTTCATTTAAACACAAAATCGAAAACTGAAAAAACAAATCGTTATCTGTTTTTTCATTTTGGTTTTGGAGACAAATAACGAAGAAAATCATTGTTTTTTCGTTTAGTTATTTTTGGTTTTATTTTGAAAAATGAATGAACAAATGACACACAGATTTTACATGTTTGTCTTGTGTCAAATGTTGCCTTCACGTGATACGGTGATTATCGTAAATACCAAAAACTGACATCAAAATTGCACATGAACATCCACTCACGTTGTAACTTCCACTTTTATGAAACACTTAGATAAACTTTGACCTTTCAACACGGCGGAGAGCAGCAAAAGTTAAAAATTCTCTCCTGTACATGATCAATAAAATATACGGCATATTATTATTATTATTATTATTATTTGTATTTTTATTTTATTTTGCGTTTTGATGCATTCTCTTGTTAGCCAGTCTGGCGCCACCTAGTGCTTAGTTTCGTTTCTCTCCAGCTCAAGGTCAGAATCAGAAAACACTAGACGGTTCGCAAAAAAACCCAGAAGTGTGAGTTCTGGCACCAGCCAATCAGAGAAGAGACAGACATTCTGTGTTGGCAACGATTCCCGAGATCGAGGATTTAAAGCCAGAACAAAGAGAATGTTTGGTGAATTTTATCAAAGGGAAAGACGTTATTGTCCTTCTTCCTACATTCTTACATACGTCACAACCAAACAGCAGCGACTGGTTAAATAAAAAAGTACCCGCCTCCTGTGGAGCGAACGAGTCACACAGTTTACACCAAGTGAAACCGACTCATGAATCAGACTATTCTCTTGTTGCTGTAGCAGATGAATTAGCAGAAACTGTTTTACACTGAAAAAAAATAACTAGTAAGAGTTTCTAGAAAAAGTCCTCGTAACAATTTGCACTCGCACTTTTTAAATCAATTTTACTGCTGTAATATCAGGTACAATTTACTTGTCAGTATTAATTAAAATGTACTTACCACCACCATTAACAGTCAATTTACAGAGTAACTGTTATAATTTTTTTTTATGTAAATAAGTTAAGTAAAATATATAAAATATTGTCATAATTAATTGCGTTGCTGTGATGAAATAATGAAGTAAATATTATATGTCTCGTATTTACTGATGTAGAATAAATTATACATTTTTATACAGTGCGCTTCCATTTTCAAAGCTCAAAGTGTTTTACAACAAAGAAACATTCACACAGCAGTGTACACAGACCCTGGGGGCGGGGCGGGTCAAGTGTCTTGCCCAAGGACACAACTGCCATCAGTGGATAAACGCTCTCACCAACGGAGCTCCGGCCGCCTGAGCCCAAACACACAACCACCGAGCGCACGGACGTGTCCAGAAGGACTCTGGGCTTAAGAAACAATAAGAGGAGGAGACAGACTGAAAAACTATCACAGAGTCTGGATCTACTCAAGGCCACACAGTTTCCAGGACTATTTCTCCCCCTTCGTTTAAAACCACAAGCTTTAAATGTGAAATCAGTTCTTGTTTTACATCCCTGTCTCCATGAAACTATATAAGACTAGACCTTTAATATATATAATATATATATATATATATATATTATATATATCTCCTTACACTGTGTATCTTTTTATACAAGGTTTTTTATACTATTTTATACTATTTTCATATAATGGGTCTTTCTATGTTTCGGTTGTTGGGATTTGTACCATTTAAATCTTGTATTATATTTGAACTCTTATAGCTTGTAACTACAATTTGCTAAGGGAACTGTGGGCCAGTCCACTGTGAACATGTGACCTACACCTATGACTTTAAATCTACACTGTGATCTCCACCTCGAGTTTGCCTTGAGACGCTTTGGCATATTTTAACTTTATCTGCCCTGTGCTGTTAAAGGCTTTTCATTATTTTGTACTTTTTGAGCCTCAGTTTTTTTCCTACTTTGTATTTGAGACTGGTCCCTACACTGAAGACACCAACAGGACAATTCTGCACAATTTTTGCATTTCCAAGTAGCTCTCCTGCTCCCAAAGCTTTGCGGACGCAGGTGTTACTCAGTATTTCTGGGATTGTGAGGAGCGACTGTAAAACCTTTAAACGTACTGGTGATTATCATGAAGTGTTTATCTGGACAGAGCTCTTCTGTGGCTCTTCTGGCTCCTTCTGACTCCGGCTCCCATTGACTTACATCAGAATCTGTGTCTGTACCTGCTGCTCTCAGAGTTGGCGTCAGAGCACATCTACTGGAGGAGCGTGGGTCACCAGCAGGGGGGGCAGTGCTAATTGAGAAATATTTTAACGCGGTGGAGTCATACACAGCAGAAATGCTTCAAACACGTTGTTCTTAGTATAACAGGAGTAACAGTATTAGGCTAATTATGTGTTATTATTATCATTATTATTAATATTATTATTATTAGCTGCAATAGTTGTTGAGGTTGTGTGGTAGACGATACGCACACAAGACAATAATAAAAGGTTGAGGTTTATTAAAAAAAACAATAAGGCCACTGGTTGTAAACCTTAAACAACAGCCTCATCAAAAACACCTGAACAACATCACTGAAAGAAGCAACCGCGCAAGAAAAAGCCACACATCGGACAGCACCAGGGCTGTAGTGAGCGTGGTACACGGGGGTACGCGGGGGTACGCGGGGTACGCGGGGATACGCGGGGGTACGCGGGGTACGCGCGGTACGCGGGGGTACGCGGGCAACATGGTACGCGGCGGTACGCGGCGGTACGCAACGGGGTACATGCGGCGGTACGAACATGGCGGTAACGGCATGGTACGCGGAACACGCAACATTACGCGGCATGTACGCGGGCAACATGGGTACGCGGGGGTACGCGGCGGTACGCGACGGTACGCGGGGGTACGCGGGGGTACGCGGGGTACGCGGGGTACGCCGTCACAACGCAACATGAACGCAACATGAACAACATGACCGCAACATGACCGCAACATGAACACACACATGCGTGCTCCTGCTCCTCCTGCCGACACGGCGACAGCCCCGGGTCCCGGCGGCGACAGCCCCGGGTCTTCAGGTCGGGTCTTTGACTCTGTCGTCGCCATTTCCTGTGTGGAGCTTTAGGCTAAAGTCGCAGCTGTTGCTAATCGTGAAGCTGTTACGAGTTGACGCAGCAGGTTGACGTGACGTGACGTGAGTGACAGGACAGTTGTCCAATCAGATTACACTAAATAAACAGAGACTGTGATGTCATTGGTCTGGGCGCTAAAGTTTGTGCCCTCAACCTGAAGTGAAATGCGCCAATCAGAATCATTTTAAAATAGTAATAGTAACGGCCTGTGCTGGGGGGGGGGGGCACGGCCCTCAAATGCCCCCCCCCCCCCCTTGCCGCCGACACCGGCTGCTCTGAGCCTCGTCATTTTGATCATAAAGTGTTCGTATGAACCCGCGACACGTGATCCTGCTGTTTTTTTGTCATTTGAGTTTTGTTATTTTCATCTGAGCGTCGCTGAACTCTGTGGTGACGTCACACTCACTCAGTTCACTTTTTTTTTACACAGTCTGTGGTGATTCTGTCGTAAAACTCATTAAACTTAAAACTTCCACTACATGAATAAAAAGTACATTCTGTCCCTTGTAATTAAATACATTGTAGTTCTCTCAGAATTAAGTTATTTCAGTGTCAAAAGTACCACAGTTGATTTCTTATATTCAGTGTTGGGGAGTAACAGATTACATGTACCAGAGTAATCAGAGTACAAATTATGAGTACTGTATTCAGTTACAGTTACTGTTTCAGTGAGTGGTAATTGGATTACAGTTACTTTGTTGAAATAAATGGATTACATGGTGGTATTTTCCGGTTTTCACATTTTGGGCTAAACCAGGACTAAAAGCAGGACTAAACCAAGACTAAACCAAGAATAAACCAGGTCTAAAACCAGGACTAAACCAGGACTAAAACCAGGACTAAACCAGGACTAAAACCAGGACTAAACCAGGACTAAAACCAGGACTAAACCAGGTGTAAAACCAGGACTAAACCAGGACTAAACCAGGTCTAAACAATATGACACTAACAGCAGAGTGAACATACTTTAAGGCAGCAGTGTCTCATATAGAAATAATTTCTCTATCAATAATATTTTTTATATGTTTAATTAAAGACAGTTTTTTTTATTTTCTTTTAGCAGACAGTTATGTTCAGATTTCCTGGTCTTTGCTTCTCCACAACAAACAGTCGCTTATTCATGGAGACTTGGGCTCAACAGACAATTTGAAGAGAACAAGAATTTTCAGGACGTGTTTGGTTCATTCATGTAATTTTAAAAAGCATCACAATATCAAGTAATCCAAAGTATTCAGATTACATTACTCACCTTAAGTAATTTAATGGATTATGTTACAAACTACATTTTGGGGTCTGTAATCTGTAATCTGTAGGGGATTACATTTTAAAAGTCACCTTCCCAACACTGTTTATATTTTACTTTTTCCCACAGAAGTTCTTTTTTTCAGTGAACCCAAGTGACCGGTCAGGATAAACTCTGGATTCGTCACGTTTCATTTCACTACGACAACAAAAGTTCCTGAACACAACACACAACTCGTGATTTCCTCTTCACAAGCGGAAAGGATCAGCAGAACATTCACACACAAACCCTGCACATTTACTCTGAGCTCTTCTTACACACATCAAGAATCTCAGACGTCCGGTCATCGTGCAATTCACACTGGGAAGGATTTTCTGAAAAAGTGAACATCAAACCTCCATGTTTGTTTTCTCAGTGGGACGTGTCTATTGACAAAGTCGATCTTTTCAAGTCTTTTGAACCATATCACTTTTGCTTCTGGTTCTGATATTGTCATATTTTAGTTTTGGGATTTGGACATCGTCATTGTGTGGTTGTTGGATCCTAACAGCGGAAAACGGCTCCAGAAATTTGTTTGTGAACTTCATAAACTATAAACAATCATGAACAATGAAGGAACTAGTTCATTTTGAAATTTGTGAACTGAACTTTGAATTAGTTCATGTAGAAAATGAACTTTCCCAACACAGAAGTATCTTACATCAGATCCTCATCGAGACTAAAACTGGTATTGAAACTAGATTCCAGAATATTTCCTGAATGTCTTTAGAATGATGTAAGCTTTCTTAATGGTCACACGCTCCTGAAAATGTCTCTCTTTATCTTCATTTTCTGTTTATTCTTTTTCTAAACACATGTTGAGTGAGAGCGTTGTGTCGCCGTGGTAACCGCGGAACATTCTTCCCCGGCGTGATGTCACTGTGGAACATTGGCGTTGCTAGGGCCGTCGCCGTGGTGGATGGAATCTTCCTTTGACGTGTCGTCAGTGCTTTACGACACGTAAAGTGCTTTAGTGCAGAAGTTTATAAGTGTAAGTGAGTCCTGCAGCAGAACTTCAGACGATCAGAACTTCAGACGATCAGAAGACAGAACAGAGTGAACTTCACACAGAGACACTCCCAGACTTTTCACTTTCACATTTGCACTTTCACTTACAACAGCATTTGTAAAAACATTACAACTGCCACAATGTGGAAGGCACTGAAAAACTTTTTCAACTTTTCCAAGAAAAAGGAAAGTTGTACTGGTGAAACCAGCAGCAGCAGCAGCGTCTCTTGGGGCTACGAGCTCAGGGACAGAGACCTGGGGAAGATCCACAAGGCGGCAGCACAGAGGGATTTGGTCAGAATAGAAAAACTTCTTACCAAAAAGAGGCGACGCATCAATAAGCAGGATAAGAAACAGAGAAGTGCTCTGCATATCGCGTGTGCTCTTGGATACAACGACGTGGTACAGTTACTTTTAGGAGTAAATGCAGATCTGAACCTTCGCGATGATAAAAATCAATCGGCCTTAATGAAGGCGGTGCAGGGAGGACATTGGACCTGTGTCCACATGCTCCTGCAGAACTGTGCAGATCTCACCCTGCGGGACAGTGAGGGAGACACAGCGCTGCACATGGCAGCGGGCACCTCGTGTGTGTCCATAGCTCAACTGCTCCTGGAGCGCGGGGCTCAGATAAATGTCCTTAATGGCCGTGGTCTTACCCCTCTGAGTGTGGCGCTCCGCCTGGACCACACTGACATGGTGAAGTTTCTTCGAAAGAACGGAGCAAATGCCAGAGTCCGGAAATATAAACCATATACTCATCTGGAGTTACAAAATGAGGAGAGTCGTCAGAATGATACAATGATGTGCGACGAGTTTAAAGAAAAGCTTCAGAGGAAGGAGGAGCAGCTTGAACACGAGAGACAAGAAAAACTGAAGATGGAAGTGAGACAACAAAAGCTGGAGCTCGAGATGAAAACCATGATGGACATGATGAAACAGCAAGAGGAGGCCCACCGTGAGACTCTGAGGCTTCTGGAGCAGGAGCACAGTGCACGAGCTCTTCAGGAAGAACACCTCATCTCACTGAGAGAAGATCTTCAGCGCTCACAGGCAAACAGCAGCCTCAAAGAGACACGCCTTTTACAAGAAAACAAGGCCCTTAAAAAGCATCTGGAAGAAGCTCTCAGTGAAATCACAGTGATAATTGAATCCCTGGAGCAGCAGCGCAGTGCACGAGAAAAAGAGATTCAGGAGGCGGCTAAGAGCAGGGCTCTTTTAGGTTTTCCAAAGATGGTTTACTTTTTTTTATTTATTTATTTATTAATTTTTTTTATTATAGTTTTTTAGGATATACAAAATATGCATAACATTGTCTCCAACAACATATTTCACAGTTTTTACATTTGAACTATTCAGAGACAGAATATTTTGAGATTAAGATATATAAAATTTGAAAAATAAAAGAACAAAACAAAACAAAAGAACAAAACAAAACACCTGCATAGAAAATATACATGTGTACATATATAAACAATACACATACAATAACAAGAGCAACCTATAAATACACATACACTGACATTATAGGGCTGTCTCTATATTTACTTACCATTAAAATGGTCAATAAAAGGTTGCCATGTTGTGTAAAAAAGTTCTTGTTTATTTGTCAGTGAAAATTAATTTTTTTCCAATTGTAAATGTTGCATTATGTCTCTCTGAAGATTTTGATGGGTAGGGGGTTTTTTTGCTTTTCCAGTTAAGTAAAATCAGGCGCCTGGCCAATAACGTAACATAGCTCAAGACATTCTTTTGCTTACTATTTAAACTCATATCAGGAGCTGGCACCCCAAATAGTGCCATCACAGGGTCCACCGGAAGTTGGGTCCCTAAAATCACTGAAAGAGTTTCAAATGTTCTTGTCCAGTAGAGAGTGATGTCCGGACAACTCCAGAATGTGTGAGACAAAGAGGCAGGACTATATCCACATCGTTCACAAGAAGGATCCACCCCTGGAAACATCCTGGACAGTTTGTGTTTAGAAAGGTGCAGTCTGTGTAGGATCTTAAACTGGATTAGTCCATGCTTACTACACACTGAGGAGGAGTGGACCCGTTCCTGAGCTTCAGACCACTGGTCCTCTGTGATGTTTATTGCTAAGGCACCGCACCAAGCCTCCTTCAAATGGTCCAAAGTGGCTGTACAGTCAAGTCGTGAGAGGTTATGATACACATTTGAAATAGAACCTTTTTCCAACGGATCCTGGAGCAACACCCTGTCCATGATATATTCCTCTGGCTGACTGGGGAAGGATGGAAAGGTCACTCTCGTGAGATCACGGATTTGCAAATATTTAAAAAAATCTTTATTATCTATTTTAAATTTTTGTTTTAATTGCTCAAATGTAGCAAAGGTCTTATTAATGAACAGATCTGCTATTGAGTGAATCCCTTTGAGGTCCCATTGTGTGAAGGTCCCATCTGAAAGTAATTTGTGGCCTTGGTTTTTAATCAAAGGTGTTAGTATTGAAGCATGATTCCACTTGAAATATTTCCTAATTTGAGACCAAACTCCAAGAGATTGAGACACCACTGGATTCTGACACTTAAATTTAGTAAGATCCGAAGTATAATATAGTAGCGATCTCAAAGAATTTGGGAAGAAAGCTTGATTCTCCATCCGCTCCCAGCCAGGTTCAAGGTTTCCACCCCAAAAGGACATGCACCTAATGTTACAAGACCAGTACGTTGACAGAATTTGGGGCCCTGGAAAAAAGACTCCATCTAATATTTATAAATAATAAGGCTATATTATAATATTACTATTATATATATATATATAATATTTTTTTTTATATATATTATATATATATATTTTTAATTATATTTCTTATGTCTAATGTTTATTTTGTTACTAATTTGCTGGGTATTCATTCCCTCAAAATGACAAAATAAATAAATTAAAATAAATAAATTAAAAAAAGAAAATAAGTAAATAAATAAAAAGTAAATAAAAAAAAAAAAAAAAAAAGGACAGATTTTCTAATTCGAGGCCCCTAAAAAACCCCAGGGCCCCTTTGTCTCCCTCCGTCGACTCCCCTGCTCCTACGTCGCTTCTGCTTTGTCTAAAATGTGAAGTTTGTAGCTTTTTTCGTGTTTAAAACAGGTCAAAGTTGTGCGTTTTGTGATTCTAGCGAAGGCGTGATGACTTTAAAAACACAGTGGAGCACTTCTCTTCCAGTATCACCACATGACATTTCTAGTTTTTTTTGCGTTAAAAATGTGTGAATGAAGCAAAAAAAAACAAACAACTCCAGGTCTGTTTGTGACGAGGAAAC